TCTGATGGAGGTTCATGAACAGCAGCAGGATCACAGACTGCCGCTGCAGCCCCTACTTAGCCGCCCTCCCTCCTCCCCAAGTTCCATACCCTCCTAACCCAGATGCCCAAGAACGCGGGATGGGAGGCTCTGGGCACCCAACCACTCCACCCCAGTGGACAGCCCAAGCAACAGAAGGCTGGCATTCAACAAGTTTTAAAGTGGCCTTTTCCTTCCCTCCTACCCTCCTCCCACACCCCACCCGGGCTACCTTGTGAGTTATCTCCCTATTTTTATAATCAATTAATAAAGAATACATGTTTTTTAAATAATAGTGACTTTATTTCCTTTGTAAGCAAGCTGTGATCAAAGGTGGGAGGGTGGGTGGCTTACAGGGAATTAAAGTCAACCAAGGGGGCGGGTTTTCATCAAGGAGAAACAAACAGAAGTGTCACACAGTACCCTGGCCAGTCTTGAAACTGGTTTTCAAAGCTTCTCTGATGCGCACTGCTTCCTGCTGTGCTCTTCTAACTGCCCTGGTGTCTGGCTGCGCGTATTCAGCGGCCAGGCGATTTGCATCAATCTGCCACCCTGCCATAAACATCTCCCCCTTACTCTCACAGAGATTGTGGAGCACACAACAAGCAGCAATAACAATGGGAATATTGCTTTCGGTGAGGTCTGAGCGAGCCAGTAAACTGCGCCAGCGACCCTTTAAACATCCAAATGCACACTCTACCACCATTCTGCACTTGCTCAGCCTATAGTTGAACAGCTCCTTACTACTGTCCAGGGTGCCTGTGTACGGCTTCATGAGCCATGGCATTAAGGGGTAGGCTGGGTCCCCAAGGATACATATAGGCATTTCAATATCCCCAACAGTTATTTTCTGGTCTGGGAATAAAGTCCCTTCCTGCAGCCGTTTAAAGAGACCAAAGTTCCTGAAGACACAAGCGTCATGAACCTTTCCCGGCCATCTCACGTTGATGTTGGTGAAACGTCCCTTGTGATCTCCCAGTGCTTGCAGCACCATTGAAAAGTACCCCTTGCGGTTTATGTACTGGCTGCCCTGGTGGTCCGGTCCCAAGATAGGGATATGCGTTCCGTCTATAGTTCCACCACAGTTAGGGAATCCCATTGCAGAAAAGCCATCTAGTATGACCTGCACATTTCCCAGAGTCACTACCTTTGATAGCAGAAGCTCAGTGATTGTGTTGGCTACTTGCATCACAGCAACCCCCACAGTAGATTTGCCCACTCCAAATTGATTACCGATTGACCGGTAGCTGTCTGGCGTTGTAAGCTTCCACAGGGCTATTGCCACTCGCTTGTGAACTGTGAGGGCTGCTCTCATCTTGGTATTCTTGCGCTTCAGGGCAGGGGAAAGCAAGTCACAAAGTTCCATGAAAGTGCCCTTACGCATGCGAAAGTTTCGGAGCCACAGGGAATCATCCCAGACCTGCAACACTATGCGGTCCCACCACTCTGTGCTTGTTTCCTGGGCCCAGAATCGGCATTCCATGGCATGAGCCTGCCCCATTAACACCATGATCTCCAAATTGCGGGGGAATACGGTTTTAGAGAAAAGTGTGTTCATGTCCTCATCACCGCGCTGCCGTCGCCTCCTCGCATGGTTTTTCAGGTGCTGGTTCTGCATACACTGCATGATAATGCGCGAGGTGTTTACAATGGTCATAACTGCTGCGGTGAGCTGAATGGGCTCCATGCTTGCCGTGCTATGGCGTCTGCTCCTGCTCGGGCAATCCAGGGAAAAGGGCGCGAAATGCATTATCGTTTGCCATTGCTCTGGCGGAGGGAGGGGCGACTGACAACATGGCTTACAGGGTTGGCCTACAGGGAATTAAAATCAACAAAGGGGGTGGCTTTGTGAGAAACAGAATGGCCCCCTCAAGGATAGAACTCAAAACCTCAAGGATAGAACTCAAACCTGGGTTTAGCAGGCCGTTGATTTAACGGAGGGAGGGAGGAGAAAATGAATACAAAACAAATCTAGTCTATTTCTTGTTTTGATCCACTTCATCTATTTTTATACATCTTGCTGGCAGCAGACTGTGCCGTATGACCACTAGTCATCGTCATCTCCTGGGTGCTTGGCAGAAGACAGTGCAGTATGACGGCTGGCCATCGTCTTCTGCTGGCTGCAGATTAAAAGACAGTGCACTGCTGGTAGGACTGAATCGCCATGAGACGAAACTTAAAAGGGAAATGACCTGGCTGAGTCACTCCCATGTTTGCCCAGGCGCCCCTGACCTCATCGAGGTTGGTTAAAAGAGCACCCTGGACTACGTCGACGATGGCTACCAGTCATACCGCACTGTCTGATGCCAAAAGGCAATAAACTGTTGCTGTGTAGCAATGCAGTACCACGCCTGCCAGCAGCCAGGAGACAGACGGTGATGGTTAGCTGAGCAGGCTCCATGCTTGCCGTGGTATGGCGTCTGCACAGGTAACTCAAGAAAAAAGGCGCAAAACGATTGTCTGCTGCTGCTTTCACGGAGGGAGGGAGGGAAGGGGGGCCTGACAATATGTACCCAGAACCACCCGCGACAATATTTTAGCCCCATCAGGCACTGGGATGTCTACCCAGAATTCAAATGGGCGGCAGAGACTGCGGGAACTGTGGGATAGCTACCCACAGTGCAATGCTCCGGAAGTCGATGGTTGCCTTGGTACTGTGGACACACTCCGCTGACTACATGCACTTAGAGCATTTGTGTGGGGACACACACAATCGACTGTATAAAAACGCTTTCTACAAAACTGACTTCTATAAATTCGACCTAATTTCGTAGTGTAGACAAGGCCAGAGAGAAAGAAGAATAGCTGCCAAGGGCCTGGATTTCCAATGAGTCTGGGTTGTTTATTTGCTTTGTGTGGCTTGGGGTTAGAGCCAAGAATCTGGGAGTCAGGACTTTTAGGTTTTCTCCTCAGCTGTGAAACTGATTCACTGTATGACTTTGAACAACTGACTTAACTTCTCTGCGTCTGTTGAAACAGCAAAAAGTAGCTCCACATGACCTGGGCTAGGGTTTAAATTAAAATGAAAGAGGAGGATGAGGGACTTATCAGCTGCCATCTTTCACAAGCTGGTCAGTGAGTGGCTAGAGACTCAGGAGCACGAGAGGTCACCCTGCATCCCCCCACAGCATGTGTTCTCTTCCCCAATCGCTGCACGCCTTCTCAAGTTTCCCACCTGTTGAAGTGGGTGGCATTTCCCAAAGTGTAAAATTGTTTAATTTGGAATGAATGGATGTAATGCACACCACTGCCCTCTACACAGTGGGATGAGAACTGCCCAGCTGTGTGTTGTAGGCACTGTACTGTTAATAGCTCATTTAAGATTTTCAGCTAATTCAAATTGTGCTTCTGCTGGAGGGTGCTTTTGTTTTATGTTGCCAGGTTCCCCCATATCCCTGGCAAACCTGCCTCATGACCCAGGTGCCTGGATTTGTACTGTTTACTCTGCATTCTCCCCAGCTGGGGACAATGAAAGCACATCTGTCAGTTTCACTCTTTTTTACAGTTTCTAGTCATTTTCCCTTTCACATTCTCACTGGCTGGCATGGTGCTACAGTGAGAGCTGGCTGTATGATGAACACCTCTGAGTGCCAATGATTCAACAAAATTTTCCAACTTCATTAGATAAACTATACACTGTGAATAAGTCGCTATCCCCACCTGCTGTTTCCCCTGGAATTGGCTTTAGGTTTTGTAAGGGCTTCTCTTCTATAAAACGTTGAAGCCACATTTGACCCACCATTGTCTCGTCCACACAGGGAGCTGAAGGCAGCTAGGATCTGAAAGGCTGAGCCAGTTTCTTGTTAGCTGATGTTACTAGCTTGAACTTTCTAATGCGTAGCTGAAGTAAATGAAACTGCATGTCTGTGCAGTAATCAGGCAATAAGGAGACTCCACAGTGGCTTATCCTGGATCCAAAAGGCTAAACAAGAGAAAAATATGAACAGGCGGAGAAAACAACTCCTCTGAGGTCCTATGAGATATTTGAAGGTAACAGCAGCATCAAAATGGAATTATTCAGAGCATTATCAGGCTCACATAGCTGAAATACCAAAAAGCAAGTCAGCTTCAGCTCCTGGTTCAGTTCGTGCTAGGAAGAGATGTCTGAGCTTTGAACAGAATAATTTTTCTTTTTGTTTGGATGTCAAGTGTTCTGCTCTTCATGGAAATTAGACTAGACTCATGGCTCGTTTCTTTGCATCCAGGAAACGGAAGGTAACTGATATCGACGGAAAGATTGTATCCATGACAACCAGCAGATATGGCCTTGCTGCCCAGATGGCTGGTGCCTGATTGGTTCCCATGTCCTCCCAGGATGTGTTCCCAACCTCAATGGGTCCCTTTGCTCAGGACACCTATTGTCTCCAACTTGGTGCTCTGGAGACACAGGTGGCAAATTCCCAAATAAAAAGAGGCTCTCCTAGGCATCAGTTTAACCAATGCATTCTCTCTTAGCCAGACCCACCTTAGGCTGCATGTGCCCATGCTAAACAATCCTCCTGCAGATTTCTGGGGCTCCAGTCAAAAACTCTGGTCCATGACTAGAGCTCCTAGGTGCTATTGTGATACTTACCATAATAATTAATGTGGAAGCAGTGGACTGGATGGGGTCGGTGATCCCACAATCACTTCATAGAACCAGGAGCCTTTTTCAAAGGAAAATACAGTAAATGGTGCCATAAGAATCACAACTTGGTTTGACAGGTTTCAGAGTAGCAGCCATGTTAGTCTGTATTCGCAAAAAGAAAAGGAGTACTTGTGGCACCTTAGAGACTAACAAATTTATTTGAGCATAAGCTTTCGTGAGCTTCACGAAAGCTTATGCTCAAATAAATTGGTTAGTCTCTAAGGTGCCACAAGTACTCCTTTTCAACTTGGTTTGAGTAGATGAGACGGCTTAATTCTTGCAAGAACTGGCCACATGAGCAATGTCAGGAGGGACTGTGAGGCTCATGTTTGTGTTTGCAGAAGATGCAGGTATTTGTCCTGTTAATAGGCCCTCACTACAAGAGTTAGAGAACTGATTGTGTTCCCTAAGGAACTCACTGTACCATAATCTGCAGTGATGTATTTTCCGCATTCCGGCTGCTGCCTGGACCTGCCTCAGAAAGCAGTGGCATTTCAGGCAGCTGTAATCACACATGGTGACGAGTACAACAACGGAAAGAAATCCGCCACAAAAGGAAAAAGTAATCGGTCATTAAACACGCCAGCCAAAGTTTCTCATTTACAGAGCTTCTGTTTTATGTCTAAAAAGTGACACTTGCACTACACAAAGGGAAAACGTCTCTGGGATCAAAACGATGTTGTCCCATTATGGTGGTAAGAGGAGGGGAGATTGGGAGTTTTCAGCTTGGAAAAGAGACGACTAAGGGGGGGGATATGATAGAGGTCTATAAAATCATGACTGGTGTGGAGAAAGTAAATAAGGAAATGTTATTTACTCCTTCTCATAACACAAGAATTAGGGGTCACCAAATGAAATGAATAGGCAGCAGGTTTAAAACAAACAAAAGGAAGTATTTCTTCACACAACGCACAGTCAACCTGTGGAACTCTTTGACAGAGGATGTTATGAAAGACAAGACGATAACAGGGTTAGAAAAAGAACTAGATAAATTCATGAAGGCTAGGTCCATCAGTGGCTATTAGCCAGGATGGGCAGCGTGGTATCCCTAGCTTCTGTTTGCCAGAAGCTGGGAATGGGCTGGGCGACAGGGGATGGATCACTTGATGATGACCTGTTCTATTCATTCCCTCTGAAGCACCTGGCATTGGCCACTGTCAGAAGACAGGATACTGGGCTAGATGGACCTTTGGTCTGACCCAGTATGGCCGGTCTTATGTTCTGCTGTTATGAGAGGATGACGGGACTCCTGAGTTTTAATCCTGGTTCTGCCACTGCTTTGCTCCGTGACATGGTCCTCAGTTTCCCCATCTGCATAACAGGAATAACAGCAATGTACTAGAAGATCATTTCAGATTAGTGCATTTTAAAAAAAAAATACATACATACCTACTGCACAGGGTTGTTGTAAGGCTTAATTAACAATGTCTGAATGCATGTAGAGTGCAGACCACACTGATCTTGCTCAGTAAATAACAGCCTTGATAATGGGACTCATCCTGCAAATTTGTGCTTGGAATCCCATTACATTTATTTGTGTGAGTAAAGGCTGGTGGGATTTGTTCTGATGCTTGTAAAATGATCTAAGGCTGCCTGATAAATATTATATAGGAAGACAGGGATACAATTTTGAGTCTCAGAAAATATAGAAATATACAGGAGAATAAAGAGAGAGACATTATCCATACACCTCCAAACTTACAATACAATCATCTAGTACAACACACTGTTAAAAAGATAAGGAGTACTTGTGGCACCTTAGAGACTAACCAATTTATTTGAGCATAAGCTTTCGTGAGCTACAGCTCACTTCATCGGATGCATACTGTGGAAACTGCAGAAGACATTATATACACAGAGACCATGAAACAATACCTCCTCCCACCCCACTCTCCTGCTGGTAATAGCTTATCTAAAGTGATCACTCTCCTAACACGGCTGTTACTCTGAAACCTGTTAAAAAGATGTTCCTTGTGCATCTTGGCTCCAGAAAGGAGAAGCGGACAGATAAGGTGACTCAGGGGATCACTATTCCTAGGCAGCTACGCTGAGTAGCTATGGTCTGTGCATTCTTATACAGGGAACACAAAGGGGCCAGCAAATCAAACAGCTTTTAATGCAAAAGGAAGAACTGTACCTGTGGCCAAGCCTGGGAAAGCTGGTTGTTTGTTGTTTCAATGGCTGTTACTTTCACATACATCACAGTCACTCTGGATGGGAACACATTTATAAACCAAAAGTCAGCCAGCTTCAGATGCTAAAATGTCTCCTGCTGTAAACGAAGAGGATTTGGATTTTGAAACTGGAGAAAACAAACAGCAATGCAGTATTTTGAGTTTTTCAGTGAATTTAATTCTGTGAAAGGGGCCATTTAAGAGCTTTGGAGACCTCTGTGTCTCCATCAAAGCCATAATGATGCCCCAAAGACCTCTGCACTTACCTGAAGAGAACATTTGGAAAGGAAGAAGGTTGTTTAGCTTCATTTAGCCATTGTGCGCTCTTGGATGCCAACACTGGAGCCACCTGGTATGGTAGCCTTTTAGCTGGGAAATACAAATTGGGCTGAGACCACTACCTCATTTCACCTATAAAGAAAACACTTTCAGTCACCATTGCCCTGAGCTTACCTGGCAACCTAATAATGAGGCTCCATATTCTGTTACCAGTCACCTGTATCTTTCAGGGTTGTCTAGCGCAGAAATCAAACTTCATAAGGGAGGCAGTGTGGCCTATTGGTTACAGCAGCAGACTTGGATTCAGGATTCTTGCATTCTATGGCCAGCTCAGCCACTAAATTGCTATGAGAGTTATCTAATCTAATTTGGGGATACTGTGTAGCCACCTTTGAGAAGTTCTTTGAAGTCTTTGTATAAATGAAACAATAAACAGAGCACAAGCACTATCGTGCTAATACTCGTGAAGTGTTTTTTTCAGTTAAAAAAAAAATCTTGAATTTACAGTTTTACTGTGAAACTGTGGCGTGTGTGATTTGATACTTTGTCTAGACTCTTCGGCATCCCTGGGCGTGGATCTTTCTGTTCCCTTCCAATTAAATAAATCGTTTCTATAAAGCTCAATATTTCCTGTCTTTTGTCAAGCATGCGGTCAACGTGCAAATCTTTCTGCTGTGAAATACGAGCAAATTTCAGCATCTCAGTAGAGCCATCAGGGGATAGAGTCAGCAGTGGATTCTCTCCCTATCTCTCTAGTTGAATTCCAACACACTTTGCTCTGCGTTTCAAATAGAATCCCTCTGGATAGTGGCCATTAACCTCCCACAATAATTTTGAAAATTGTCTTGCATTCTTACTGATTACTGTACTACTGTTAAGTGCTAGAAAAATACCAGTGCTGTAAACAGAGCACCCTATCCAGGGCCATGTGCATGCCAACTTTTTAACACACCAAAAGGAAACTACTTTATTTTTAACATATTTTCACTCTTTACAATAGCAATAATGATTTCTGGGTCAGAAAATTCACAGCAGTTAATGGCCAGCTGGGTCAAAGTTATATCCTCAGTTGCTCCACATGATTATTAAAGACCTGCTCTTGCAAGACTTCCAGGCAAATCTCCTCTTTGAAGTCAATAGGAATTCTGCATGCCAACTGGTGGGAAATGCCCTCTCTGCCAGTAATGGCTTAAATATATCACTTCAGTTAGACACTAGGGCTGGATGATTCCTAAAGTGTGGCGGAATCAAGACCAGTGCCACCATGGTGGAATTGCCAAAGGTCAGCTTCATGGGGGCCCTTCTTGTGGGGGTATTTTCCAGGGTTATATATACAATGAAGGCAGCATACAACTCAGCTTAAAGCTTAGGGGGGAGATTTTCCACGGCACACATGGCAGTTGGGCACCTCACTTCAATTGGGCAGTGAGAGTGGGCATCTAGCTGCCTTTTGTGCCTTTGAAAATCTCCCTTACCAGTAGAAATATGTACACATAACAGTTGTACATATTTAAGTACAAACAGTACTTAAAATCATCCAAAACCATGAGTGGCTCTTTGATGTAAGCCTGTGAATATGGTACCTTCTGTATGTGTTCAGTTATTTTCATATATATATTAGGGAAGATCCTGTCACTGACCAGTGTTACTATTCAAACAATGCATGTAAATGCCTATGCACAACCACTGAGCTTTGCCTTTAAAGACATGTTACCATATGTTGAGATACTGGTCTGTTTTATGTCTTCAACTGTAAATATCTTCTGACAGGTTGATTCAATCTGTCCTCCCTCTCCCTATTTTGGCCAAGAAATCTTGAGGCTTTCTCTCCACTTCCTTTTGCTTAATGCTTGAAAGACAACAGAAGTGATTTTCTGGGAAAGCATATTCATATATCCTCCATTTTCTTCCTTGATTTAGACCTTTGTTTGCCTCCACTCTCAATAACTTTATTTCTTGACCTTGATTTCTCCTTTTCCTCCCACATCTAAGTCTGTAAATTCATAGATCTTAAGGCCAGAAGACACCATTATGATCATCTAGAGTGATGATACCTGTATAACACGGACCATAGATTTTTAACCAGGAATTCCTGTATCAAGCCCTTATCTTGTGATAAAGGATGTTTTTGTTTTTAAAACATCCAGTCTTGATGTAAAGACTTTAGGTGATGGAGAATCTACCAAATCCCTTGGTAAGTTCCAGTACTTAATCACTCTGACTTCATCTCCAATTATCACTCGTTCTCAGGCTCCACATCAGAAAATTGCTTAGCCCAGCCTTGGTTAAAAACAGATATAATTTAAAATAATTCAGATAGGAAAACATTCTCCCCTGGTTTTCCCCTTGAGGAGCCTCTGATTAAGCAAGTCAAGGGGAAATGAAAAAGGGACTATTCAGTCTCTTTTGTAATTTGGTAAACAGAGTGGCTTAGTCTAGTGGACCGACTTTGGTAATGGGAGCCACAAGTTCCTACGTGCAAATCCTAACTGACACTCACTCACTGCGTGGCCTTGGGTAAACCACATAGCCTTTGTCCACACTTGACATTTGCTCTTTACATTTCCCAGCCTTACCACTACTGATTTGGCTCTCCTGGTAGGTATCGGATAACTTATTTCTAGATGAAAAGCTTAATTCTTGTTCAGGAAGGCAGCAACCACATTCAGCCATCATTAAACACCAAGATACGGATCTATCAGACTTACATTTGGAGCACACTGCTGTACTGTGGTGAGACCTGGACCATCTACAGCAGGCATGAGAGAAGGCTAAATACCTTTCATACTCACTGTCATCACTGTCTTCTAAAAAGCAAGTGGGAATCCAATGTTCTTGACGACACCAAAGTACTTGAGAAAACAAAGTTACCAAGTCCCGTTGCTATTCTCAAACACTCAGATGTCTCTATTAGACTCTCATCTGCACATCAGGTGGACAAAGGCCACATTCCAAAGGGTGTACTGTATGGACGCTTCAAGGCCACGGGGCCAACCTAGGCTCAGGTTCCAGGATGTTCACAGGAGGGACTTGAAAACTTTCAGCATCAACCCCGCAAGCTGGGAAGGTGCAGCTAGAAACAGGCTATGCTGGAGGCTGTGGTACATCAGGAGTCAAACAGGCTGAAGAAAAGGAGGACTTGTGGCACCTTAGAGACTAACAAATGTATTTGAGCATAAGCTTTCGTGAGCTTCACTTCATCGGAGCCCCAGCGCTGTCCTGCCTGACCCACCTGCAGCCAGGGGAAGGAGCCAGCCAGCCAGCCCCGCTCCCGGGGCCAGAAGCCACCAGGATGCCGCTCGCCCAGCTGGGAGATCCATGGCCCAACATGGAGCTGGTGCAGCTGGACACGGAGGTGAGGAGGGGGCGCAGGGCATGGAATGCAGGCGGGGAATTTGGGGGGGGCTTTTGTGGGGAGGGGCATGCAACCCTCCCCGAACCCTTTGCCCTAGGGTGTTGGGGGTCCGGCTGTGGTGGAGGTACCCCCCATCCTAGTTGTTGCTGGGGTCTGGGGAAGCCATGCAAGCCCCTGCGCGGCAGAGAGGCTGAAGGGGGATGGTTGAGAGAGAGGAAAGCACAACAGACCTCAAGTGTAGACTTGCTCTGGCTTCATCTTCTGGCCCCTCTAGAGCTCTATGCCTGCATTATCTGGGTCAAGGACTGTCGCTGGAGAATTGGAGAGAGGAGGTGGGTCAGGTTCTATCTTTTGCTCAGGAACTGGATATTTTTTAGCCACTCCTGATGCAGCAGCATGAGACTTACTGAACTGAACAGCTTTGCACTGACACCAGCCTCTTTTAGCACCTGGGAAGGGGTGAACATTTTCACGGGGGGCAGATTTTGAGGTGCCCCCTTGAAAGAATGAGACTTTGGTTGCCCCCGAAGCAGGGGTATAGAGGTGGGATTCGGGGAGCTCCTGGAAAGGAGCGAGAATTTGTACCCCCTAAAGATGAGGCTCTGGGGTGCAGCCCTGCCCCAGCACTAGGAGGGGATCCGTGAGGGGTGCGGACTGAGTGCGCCCCCTTGGGCAGGGGGTTGGCCTCTTTCCGTGCCCGGGTCCCTCTCGGAGCAGCCGGGGACTGCGCCCCGAGCCCCCGCGGGAAGGCAGCGCCCCGGGCCCGGGCGGAACCTCCCGCCCGCCCCGCGGAGAGACTCAGCCAATGGGGCGGAGGGGGCCGGCGCTAGAGGCCGGTGCCCAATGGGGGCAGCGAGCGGCGCTCCGGAGCTGGCTCAGGAGCGGAGGGCGGCGGAGCTCGGGCTGGAGCCCCGCCGCTGTCCCGCCTGACCCACCTGCAGCCAGGGGAAGGAGCCAGCCCCGCTCCCGGGGCCAGAAGCCGCCAGGATGCCGCTCGCCCAGCTGGGAGATCCATGGCCCAACATGGAGCTGGTGCAGCTGGACACGGAGGTGAGGAGGGGGCGCAGGGCATGGCATGCGGGCGCGGGATTTTGGGGGGGCCTTTGTGGGGAGGGGCATGCAACCCTCCCCGGACCGCTTGCCCTAGGGTGTTGGGGGCCCGGCTGGGGTGGAGGTAGCCCCCCCACCCTAGTTGTTGGTGGGGTCTGGGGAAGCCATGCGAGCCCCCGCGGGGCAGAGAGGGGAGCGGGACCCCTGCCCGCACTGCGGGGAAGGGGCTGAAGGGAGCCTGCCCGCCCCACGGCGGGTCTGGGTCTGAGCCAGGGCAGGAGGGCCAGGCTGGGCGAGATCCCAGAGATTTGGGGAGAGGGATGTTTCGCTCTCCCATTGAAAGCCCCGAGGTCAGCGCTGAGGAGAAAGTAAGTGTGTGTCCGTGTCCGTGTCCCCCCAATCACAGACACACACAAAGTTTCCCTTTGAACAAAGAAAGTGCCCAGGTCTCCACCTCACCCAGATGAGGAGTATGGCAGCTAAGCCTCGCTTTAGGCTTGCCTACTAATTAAAGACATAAAAATCCCATAAATGATCAGATGAATGCAATTAGGGATTCTACACCCACGATTGCTGCTCTGGATCACCTCTCTGCCCTCACCCTGCGCTAAAGGAATTGCGAAATTCATTTTTGGGGAGGTGGGGAAGGCAGGGACTTCTCACCTGATCCAATCAACGTATCTGCAAGCAGGTTTCAGGGGTTCCAACAGCCAGCAGTTAGTTATGTTGTTTAAGCAAAGAAGCAGATTCACAGTAATCCTGTGAGTTTTGTGTGCTGCCCTGAGGCTGCCATCCATAATCCACTGCATTGATTTGGCCTATCACGCTGCAATATTTAGGCTGCTGAGCCCCTTAGGGGTGACCCCTTGTGGGTTTACTGCTGGGCTGTACAAACCAGTCCGGGGCTAAAACTTAGTGCTGAATAGCGTCAGTCCTCAAGCAATCTTTTGTACCAAGTCCTTGGGGGGGAGTTCTGCAAGTTTCAAATAAAAACAACAAATTGTACAACTGTTGTCTTTTAAACCACATTTTAGAAGTGTTTTGCCTGTATTACTTTGTTAATATTGCAGAGGAATTAACTTCTTCAAAAAGTGTCTTGTGCCTGTATCTCTCCTAT